CGCACCCCCACCCACCCAACACCACCACCACAATCACCGACCTACCATCACCATCACCACCACCACCACCACCACTAACCCATCACTAGCACCACCACCACCGCTGCCGTCGCCATCACCACCACTGACACAATTGCCGCCGCCACCACCATCGCCTGTCATCACCACCACCGCCGCCGACCCGCTACCGTCACCGCCCCCACCCACACCCTACCACCGCTACCGTTTTCTAAAAATGAAAACCGATAGAAAAATACACATTTAAACACGTTTTCTAATTTTCTAAAACTAAAAATGAAAAATGAATAAGTTTAACTAAACGCGTTTTCTAAATTTTTCAATGAAAAATGAAAACGTAAAATGAAAATCGAAAAGGGAAAACAAAAAACGGAATATGAATATTGTTTTTCTATAACTAAACGCAACCTTAAACTCCCACCTTCATAGAGGGAAAGCAGTAGACACACATTCTTTTTGTTGGCTATTTTTTAGTCTCGTCAACATCACTACGGGCCGTTATAAACACATTGGTCAACATAGTAGTCCAACTTATTTATGAGTTGACAAACTAATTAATTGTTCCACAAACAAATGAACAATTCCATTTAATCATCTCACAAAAATGGTCCATCTCCTTTAGTCCATTTTACAAATTACTAACTAATCTCATTTAACACAATTTCACTTCCACAAAAAACCAAAATAAACCAAATCGATCAATAACCGAAACCGATCTAGAAAAAGACAATTTTTTCAAAAAACTGAAACCAATATTAAACCGGTATGTGTGCACCTCTAACCCCACAACATCACCCAAATTTTATTTTATTTTTTACTTTGCAATGATATCCATATATTCTCATTAGGCTCATTCCTTATTATATAATCAGTTTTAACAAACAATCTACAAATGGGCAGGGATGTATAAATTTAACACATTACATTTTCAGCTTTGTATGGCTAAAGTGCTTAAAAGACAAATGATGTCTGTCTCAAGCAAACGATGCATAGAAAACAATTATTTCTATTTTAGACTTGAATTGATCATCCGAACAAAAAAAATTGACCATTTTACCTTTCCGTTTAAAACTAAATAAAAACAATTATTTAGTCAAAAGACAGTTATAAATAACTAAAGTTAAAATATTATGCTATTGTTTAAAAAAATCTTGATTTTATGAAAACAATTTATTTAATACCTACGCTGGGCCTTTTTGTTAATCTTGAGGTTAACTTTATATCTAGAATTTGAACTGCATAACCACAAAACATACTAAATTTCTTGGATGTGTTCAAAAGCCTAAGAGAGGGCTCCAAAGATTCGAATCTATTTCTTATACAAGGAAAATGCAAACTTCAAACCTAATGCAGAATCATAAAATCATCATTAGCAAAATTTCTTCATTCACCAAAGAGTGCCAAAAACTTGTGCATTTCCTCATGGAATATATTGACCAAATGCTTACAAACAAATTCATTAAGGAAAACAATAATTAAGAGTTCAAAAACACAAACAAACAACACAAAACTGCAACTTCAAGATTAGCTCATACCAATTACCATGGGGCTAAATCATCATGTGGATTGGATCTTTTTCTTCTTCTTACTTGAAGCAAAATCACTTGCTCCAATTTCAATTGACATTCTCTTTGTCCTAAACATAATGAAATCACACTTCTCATGTCAGAAAGAAAGAAAGGTCAAACTTCAAATGGTACCAAAACAGTCAAAAGGAAGCAAAGATAATACCTATTAGAAAGCTCATGTGTCTCATTGCTCTCTTTAGCATCTGAAACATGTTCAACTACCCAAACATAATTTAGGCAAAGTTACATTTGGTTATACTGATACATTATCTTAATCCAAATCTTGAATAATAAAGAATTATGTATATAATATACCTGCTTCGTTTGCATCATCACTTTCTGGATCATTTTCTGATTCTGAACCAGAAGCCCATCGATCTTTTCCATCATCAAAGTCCCAACGGTCTCCTACTGGAGGCATCCAGAACTCCATTTCCTCTGATTCACTATCTTTTTCTTCTGGATCCCTCACTTCAGAGATGATCTTACTAACATCCTCCTCCTCCATTTTCTTCTTCTTCTTCTTCTTCTTTTTCTTTTTCTTCTTCAAACCATCCTCTTTGCTATCTGAAGCCTTTTCTGGTTTCTGCTTGTTTTCATCTTCCACCATATCGTTTGATGCTTCTTTACCAGCTTCAGCTTCCTCTTTTTCTGTTCAACATTGATCATACTTAATATTCGAAATTTCACAAACACAAAGGATAAAATCAAATCAAACAATAAATGGTAATCCACGAAAAATTTGTAAAAGGTCATTTCAGAACCAAGCAGAGCACAAACCTAACATGTTGAGGAAACGTTTCCCATTGATATGCTTCCATATATGTTCCTCAATTTTATTCACAGTATGCCCTGTTAGCTTGCAAATTAGCTTAGAACTGTCATACAACGAAAAAGAACGTAATCAGAATAAATTAAAGAAAGGGTTGTAGCAATCATGTTCATTGAGTAAAACTATAAACCCTAATTTTATTTAACAAAAAAAGGGGAGTCATGATACCGGCAAAGAGGGTCTTGGTTGAACATATTGAGAGGAGGCTTATTACGCGCCAAGGCGGAATCGATGAGCCCGAGACGGCAGTGCTTGGTAAGTGCGTAGGACTCCCTGGCATCAGCCGGCAATTCGTGGCCGGTTTCCACGCATTTGTACCTGCCGTTTTCGAGCCTTTTGAATTTGGGTTTGCCTAGCAGGAATTTACCTTCGATCTCTTCTTCCTGTGGTTTTTCCTTGTGTGGCAGTTGTTTACTTTCACTGTTCTTCTTCCCCATGAATCAATTCACAAACCTCACTTCTCGATTCCTACAGTGTCCTCCTGTGGACTACCCGTTCTTGATTGCAGAAGAGAGTCTCTTCTAGGGCACACGAGCGTCAACTATCCCACCTTTCAAAAACGTATAAAGACATATCTTAATAAATGGTCCCTATAGTTTCTTAGAATATCAATTTTGGTTTTTATTTTTTATTTTTGTATTTAAGAATGGCCGTGGTTTAAATTTTTTTCATAGATAGTCTTTATGGCCAATACCGTCTTTTTTGGTTCGTTAAGTCAGAACGCAAGACATGTGAGGGAAAATTATCTTTTACAAACAGGGACCATTCATTAAGTTTTAAATAAAGAAAGAAAAAATATTCATAAATGGTCCTTACAGTTTTCCAGAATATCAAGTTTAGTCTCTATTTTTTTTGGTCTCATCGAATATTCTCAAATGACTTTTTTTACCCTTTTTATTTTCTTTTTTCATTTTTCATTTGAGTAATTAAAAATAAATAAGTAAAATACTACCCTACCCCCACCCCCACCCCAACCCCCTCTCTCTCCTACAATGTTGAACCACCACCACCACCGATCAACGCCACCACCACTACCAGAACTTCGACTTAACCAGACCTTCACCGCCACCAGACCTTCATTGTCGGAGCACTTGTTACTTAGATGTCTCTTACTTTCTTTCCCTCTTTTACTTCAGTTTTCGACGGTGGCACTATTTAATCTAAAAACCCTAAAGTCAACAACAATGCTTTGTAGATCCGAGGTTCTGATGGCGTTGTGTTATGAACTCCGATGATATAGCGCTTGTTACTTGTAGGGTTCCGACGGGACAAAGAGGTGGGTGGGTAGGTGCGATTTTTTTAAATAGTTTTAATAGAGGAAAATGTAAAAGAAAAGAAAAAGGTTAAATAAGACATTTCATATGAGTTAGAAACCAACCACGATAGAAATTGAAACCATATGGATCATCCACTAGACCAAAAAATAGGGACTAAACTTGATATTCTGGGAAACAACATGGACCATTCATGAAGATTTTTCTTTAATTATTTGACACTTCATGAATGATCACTTGGCTTGTAAAAGTCGTTTTTGCTTAAACATACTTTGCACGTGTTCTGAATTAACATACAAAAATAGACGGTATTAGCCATAATGACTATTTATGTAAAGTTTTTAAACCACGGGGACCATCTTTGAAGACAAAAAAAAGTTAAAGATTAAACTTGATATTTTGAAAAACTATATGGACTATTTATGAAGATTTGTCATGTATAATAAAAGAAAGGCTATTTCGTTATTGAAAAATGAAAATTACAAAAAAAAGGGGGGTTATTTATTATATGTCTATATTTAAAAAAAAATCATATTACTTTTGGGTACGTTGAAAATTGAAATTAGTATATTTTATGTTTTTGGTTAAAGTCATAGTTTTTAACGGGGTAAATTTAAGTGAATTGGTACATTAGGTGCATAATCTATGTGGATTTAAGAGGTGTTTGGATTTGATTTTTAAAACAAATTTTATTTTTAAATAAAATGTTTAGTAGTTTATTATGTATTAAGCATAATTGAAAGAAAATAAAAAACGTTTAGATTAGTTTATATATATGACAAAACACTATAAATTGATAATCACTTTTTGGGATATTATCAAACGGTTGTGTTCAAAAGAGATAGAGGCGATGTTGGAGATGCATCAAAAAAAAAAAAAAGACAACATAGATGAAGTCGATATTCGGGATGCACCAAACACACAAGCGACCAAAAAAAAGACATGAGAGATGTAGTCGATGTTGAAGATGCATCAAATACAAAGGAAAAAGAAAATGAATAAGTCGAATTCTAGAGATGGTGCAAGGGAGCCAATAGAGAGGAAGAAATTGATGGAACATAGGATCAATGATGATGGTCGTTTGGTTTGATTACAACAAGACTATCATTTGAAGTTAACCGTATTGAAGATCAAACCCGTTATATATAAATATGCAAATGATGCCTTTTAGAGCATATGGTATGGACAACGAGAAGTGGTATTATTGCTAATATGACACCTCATAACCTACCCCCCTCCATCCTCTTATTGTTAAGAGGGTGTTATGACATATCTCGTTGTGACGAAGACAAGATATAACAAGAAGTTTAATTGGTTGTTGCATTTATCAACCAATCAAATCATTTTTTTTATTTCTCTCTATACCTCTTAACATGTTATAACATTGGGAACACCATTTCCCCCTTGGTGTTATGGTTGAGGTGGCATATGAATTTGGTATTATAACGTGACTCATTGCTAATGCTCTTAACTTATATTAAATCATAGCCTAAAACTTTATTGTCAATTCGTTTAATTCTAATTACACTAAATAACACTGAAAGCATCAACAATAATTACGAGCAAACCATGGAAAATATTTATTTTTACAAGCCTAAAACCCAAAATATGCAAAAATGAAGGTTTATGCCAATTGACGTCTTTGATAATGTGTTCTTGCATTTAAGAATAAACAACAAATTGCCGCAGTCTCCAAAATCCAAAGCTCCAGCAGTCATAAATAAAACCCTCTGCCGGTTAAAATTTCTGAATTTCCCTCTCTTCCATGGAAATAAACGAAGAAGACTGGGAGCTTGTCAACGACGATGGTTTCGTCTACAAGCGTCTCAAACGCCCCCGTCTTGATTCCACCAGCGCATCGGCTGTTCCGCCTCCGGATCCTGCAGCTGAAGCGAAAGCACGCACAGAAAGAAAGAAGAAGGTGCTATTAAAGCTCAAAACCAAGTATCAGCAAGAGATCCACCATTGGGAACATTTGTCGAACACCTTGAAAGCATTGCAAGACCGTATGCAAAATCAACCATCGCCCACGGTACTGTCAGATCAGACGGTCTCCGTTTTGCCGGAAAATTCGTTAAATTCTCCTTTCCAGGATCTTACCGATACACTCCTTGCTCAGGTATTGGCCCACCCTTCAATAATTACCGTATTTGGATGTTGGATTGTTGATGTCGTTACTTGTAGAATTCAAAACTACAACTGATTTTCTTGCCCAATTTCCACCAATAATCTTCTATTTCTAGCCCTAATTGTCAAAATTTTCATCAACATTCAAAAGTTCATTTCAATTCTAAGTTGAGAAGTTCTCACTCTAACATCCAGCGTCAAGATTTTAGCGTTTTTTGGGAATTTCTTAATTCTTAGGGCACTGAATTAGAGATTCAATCTATTTCTTGAGGGTTTTGGATATAATTTGGGGGAATTTAATAATTTTGTAGGTTGAAGCTCAGGAAGCCACTATCCGTGAGGTTTCAAGACTATGTGATGTTGCCGAAGCCCTCTGCAATGCTGAAGAACAACGGTTGAAGCAACCGTTTTTTGATTTACCAATCTGGGATCCATCACCAGAAGAGCTAGTTACATCACTATTGGAAGAATGAGGTTTCCACCGTAGCTGTAGTCTAACTTTGAGCTAGAAGAAAGGTTTCAGATTCATTTACATAGAAGAAACCCTTGATCATAGTGTAAAAAGTGGGTAAACCTCTCTTAACCAAGAATCATTTCTGTAATTTATTTTTGTTTACCGGTGATTGATAGATTCTGCAAATGTCCAATATATCAACCATCCTTGAGCAAATATTGGGCTGATTAGATGTAAGAAGCTAGGTTAGGACTATTGGTTGATCTTGTACAAGCGTTTGAATGTATTTGAGATATTGTACAAATGTCGATTTAGATATTGTTTCTGATGAATCAAGTTTTGGGGTTTTGGAAGGTCTATTTTCTTGGTTTACAGTGGCTATCATTTGGAAATGTTTATTAATTCCCCTACTCTCAAGAAGACGATGGTATCATTATAATGAGTAGACATGTGATCCTATGAGTTTAAAAAGAAAATGATAAATCTCACTATCTCAACTGCCCTGTAAACCCGTCTCAGGGCCCACATGGTTTTTTTAATCACCGAACACTAGCAGCGGCCCGGTCCATGTGGGAGGTTAGTCAAATAACACTAACAATATTTTGGATGTGTTGGGTTTGAACATTAGACCTTATATATAGAATTATGCACCTCAACCGCTAGGCTGTTGTCGCAAGGACAATCCTATGAGTTAAAATAAGAGAAATGAGGTTTTGATATTAGGATTTATGCCTAATGAGTATTTGATGATTTGATATTAATGACTTATTCACTAAAGTGATCATATTTTTAGGTAACATATATTAATATGAAACCAATTTTCAAACTTTAACCAAAAAAAATCCACACATACTTCAAAATTATGAACGTGAACTCGCAAGAAACCTTGATATGGCATAAGGCAAACCAATAAATGTTAGCCAACTCAATCTATGCTTTGTGGTGCCATGTATCCTCTATATTGACCTTGTCATAAAACGTAGTCATTTACAAAGTAAAGAAATTAGTTAAATACAAATAATTACAACATTAATTAGATTTCTTTTTCTTGAATCAATAGCAATCCGTGTAACATCCTGTTTCGAGAAGTTTCTTATTCCGGGATTGTGGACAATAAATGAATCAAGTAAAGGCCTCGGGCTTCAAGGAAATGGAGTTTAGACCTTATTGAATGATGATAATGTAGGATAAGTGATTAAAGTCTTGGTTTGTGTCTTGGAGTCAAATGGTAAAATGAGAAAAGTGATGTTCAGACTTCTTTTATGAATTGATGATTTTATTTTGATGTGTTTAAGTCAAAAGTAATTAGATAGGTTGTGGGGTTAATAAATACATTTTCGTGCATATAAAGAACGTCGAAAACAGAGTTGAAACGAAGAAGTTATGATTGTTTGAAGTTGTACTGAAATTGGGTGAAAACTCGTTCTCACGAGGTGAGAAGTAATTCTCACGATGTGAGAGTCTTCACGAGGTGAGAATATATTCTCACGAGGTGAGAATATATTCTCACGCATGAGAACTATACAGCCCAAAGTCCACGAAACTTTTAGGGTTTTCAAGGTATTTAAAGGAAAGTATTCATGTTTTAGGGTATTTTCTTAGCCTCCATCATATCTAGATCCTCTTGGGAGAACCCTAGCCTTCATTTTCAAGATTTGAGCCTCTCCTCTCATCTCTCATCCATTTTTGGAGGTTTTTTGTGGTTTTGGAGCGATGTTTTCATGCCAGATTGATCCTTGAAGCTTGGAAATTAAATATCTCAACTTTCATCTACCTTCTAGACATTTGTAAGTTATAAAGTTTCAAGCTTTATTGCATTTCATCTTTGGATCTAAGTGTATTTGGTGTTATGGTCCATTCAATGAGTTTTGAGCGAGAGTTGGGAATAAAGTTTGCAACTTTATTACTTTCCAAAGTCCCAAGAACATTGTATGTTTTGGTCCATTAGAATGTTTTCTTGGACCTCATGGACTACGAAAGTTCTGATCTTTTGCCTTCCCTTTCAGCCATACAAGTTATTTTGGTCATTTAGGCCATTTTGGTGTATTAAAGTTTAGATCTTGAACAGTGTTGTCAATAGCGATCGCTATAGCGAATAGCGAGGCGATGCGATGGTATGTCGCTATGTGGTCTGTAGCGAGGAAATAGCGACGTAGCGATGTTTTTTTTTTCGAATTGCAAAATTGATAGTTGAAACACGTTTTTAGCGATCGGAATAGGTCCAATTTGTGATTGGGTTCGCCAATTTGGCGTTTGGGATTGCCAATTTGGAGAATCAATCGCCGACTTGGAAATTGGCGGGAAACGCTATCCGGTACTTGACGATCCCATCCCATGTCCAAATTGAATATTGGAATGTGTTTTTACCGAATGGAATTGCTTCAATTTGGAATTGGGATCGTCAATTTGGATTTTGGAACGCCGAATTAGAGATTGACGGGAAATTGATTGCCCACTGAAAAATTGACCACCTGATGGGTTTTAGGTAAAACAAATAACCTAGAAAACAATTCCTAAGTTCACATGCAACCTACTTTGGATCT